GGCAGCTCACTGCGTAGCCGTAGGCAAGAAAGCGAGACTCTGTCCGAAAAAAAAAAAAAAAATTGTTTTGCCTCAGCTAATAAGGTCTGAATGTTTGTGTCCCTTCAAATTCATATGTTGAAATCCTAACCCCCCCAAGGTGACAGTATTTGGAGATGGGCCTTCAGGGCGTCTCTGCCCTCCTGAATGGGATGGGTTGTCTTATAAAAACGCCTGACAGAGACTTGCCCTGTCCACCGTGTTAAGGACACAGCGGAGAAGGTGCCACTTATGAACCTGACAGCAGGCCCTCATCACACACTGAGTCTGCCAGCAGCCTTAACCTTGGACATCCAGTGTTCAGAACTGTGAGAATAAATTTTTGTTGTTCATAGCCTCCCCACTTTATGGTATTTTGTTAGAGCTTCCCAAATGAACTAAAACACTCACTTTTCTCCCTCTTTTTCTTTAACTGGAACTTTCTCATTATTTCCTTCAGGTTGGAAAGTTTGATAGTCATGCTGGTTTTTGAATAAATAAATGCAAAGTTGTTGCCTTCCCCGCGCGGCCGACCTCCTTTCTCCAGGAGCACTAACATCCCCCAAAGAACATATGAACAGAGGAGAAAAAACAGTAGGCCACCCAAATAAGTAGTTATGTGCGTGCTGAACGCCAGCCAATGCTACGTCTGGGCTCAGCAGAAATGCTGCCTGGGAGTTTTCTTATATTTTATATTTTTCATCTTTAGTAGTCTATTTTCCTTTCCTGTTGTTTTCAAACCCCTTCACCGCCCCACTCCTTTCTCTTTATTGTTTCCCCCTATATATTTCTTATCTCTCTTATATTAAATAGCTTGCCTAGCGTTATTTTGATTTCTATGCATTTGTCTATCGTATATATTATATTCTCTACCTCTCTTTTATATAAATTATATATCTTAGTGTTATGTTTCCTATTCTGTCATTTATATTTCCATGCATTTTGTTTGTCGATTGCTGGTAAAGAATAGCAGTCCTTTTTCATTTGCTCTCTGATGAGATCTCTATTGTGCTCAACTTAATATATCTATCCTATATAAAGTATGATTCTACAAGAAATGTCAGGAAGGGAATTCGGGGTTTGAGAGTATGACGATGTTCCAGAATGAGAGACTGTATGGTAGATTGTGGTGTAGCCGCTACTTAAAAAAAAGGAATAACACATCCCCCTTGAAAGTTAAGGCCCTAGGGTGTCTTCTTTGGAGGAAAGTAAACCTAAGGGCCCTGTCTTATTTTCGGGAGGAATAGGGTAGGATGACTGTAGCTTCTGAGATCGCAGCATTGCTGGATTGGATGAATAGCTCTATACAAGAGGGAGGAGGCGTCAGCTAGAGGGCGAATGTTTGTGACTAGAGCAGATCCGTGGGAAGGGCTGAGTTGTCCGTTCTGTCATGCTGCTTTTATGGGGAAGAAAGTTGGAGCATTTAAACAATTACAAGGAGGGCAAGGATTAGGAAATTATAGATTTCATAAGATATTGGCTTGCGCAGAGTCAACTCGTTTACCATTGATGAGGAAAATTTGTGAAGTAGTGGGATGGTTGGATTTAGAATCTGAATGAAATTTATGTTGAATTAGTTTGCTGAGCATGGAGAAAATGATGGACCCTGGGTTTACCAGAGTACGTTGGTAGAGCGTATTCGATGTTGAGGAATTCCAAAAAAGAGGTAACTTTAAGAAGTTGAATGGTTTGTTGGTGGGCAGACCAGCGTATGAAACCTCAGAAGGAATTCTTAAAACTTTTATAGATCTCTTATTATACATATAATTTGTGTAATAATATGTGTTTCATATAATTATATTTAATAATAAAAACATCTAGTCAATATGTAATGCCACAAATGGATAACAATGCCATATAAAATGCTCCTTTCTGCTATATTTCATTGGTTAGTTTTAGGGTAATCTAGGGTTAGTTTTTCTTAAAAATTCACTGAATCAAAGTGACAAAGTTTAAAAAACAAATTAGAAAAGGGTGCAAAGAAAGCCTATGGTTCAAGCATTAAAGCTGCAGGATCTGGATAAGAACTAGAGTAAGTAAATTGACATTTGGATAATATGAATGTTCGGATCTGGTATTCTTGGGACCTTTACATTATCTTAGACCAAGAAGAATTCTGAAGCATTATTTGTGAATAGGTCTTCAGTGTTTTTTCGCATTTCATGTTTATTTTCCGATGTCCTATTATAGCCACCTTTTCTCAGGCCCTTGTTTAGATATATTTGTGATTGTTTATAATACATTATAATTTGAGTGGGAAGTTTCAAATTGCTTATTACGGCATTTTCTTATTATATTAGTCTTTAAAAAAAAAAAAAAAAAAATCCCCTGGGTTCCACCCATTCATCCCCCCACCTGCCTGGCCCCACAGGTGACTGTCAGGACACCTCTTGGGCAGTGCCCATAGCCTTTGTTTGTGCACATGCGTCCCTGGCCTGCAAACCTTCTCCCTTCACTGAGTTGATGCCTGTTCATCCTCCACTTCCCAGCTCAAGCTTCACTCTTCAGGGAACCCCTGGCATACCCTCTGCCCCCACACCTGATGACGTCTCTGATCTACAGCCTATCTTACCTGTCCTCACCTTCCAAGATGCCCTTATCACCCTTTATATGTGTACAGTTGTGCGAATAACTTCTGTTTCTGACACTAACATGGAGGTTTATGAATGAGTAAATTACGGCTGGATGGGAAAAGGGCTATTTCAACTATTCCTCAGTCCTATTTCTGCTGCTTAGGAATATTATCCACATCCACAACATGTTACGTTTTCAATCCACCCGTGCTGCTCTGTGCAGATCCAGTCCACTGCTTGGTGTACGTCTACACGCGTGGCCTATCTTCCCTCCCAATGATGGCCACCACGTTCAAAATATATTTTATATTTTCCTTAAAAATTCTTTTGTGTTTGGTTATACTTAGGCCCTTTTAATTGAATTTATGACCTTCTGATTGAATCTCCAAATAGAAATATAGAACATACACTATGAATTTGTGTATGAATTATATAGGTTGGAAGGATCTCAATGAGACCGTTACATTTCAAGGCCTGAGATGTAATCTGGAGAACTGTTTTCCTAACAAAAAGCAACTCTTTGACTAAAGACAAAGTGAGCCTATTCCTACTGTGAGGGCTTATGCATTGCAAATAAAGATCTCCGAAGCCTACCATGTACAAAAGGTATGGTTAGACTAAAAGTAAAGTCATTACAAAAGGAGACCTAAATGCCTTTTTTTTTTTTTGGTAACATAGCATTTATTAAGCATATCTAAGATACTGTTTTATTAAAATAAAGCATATCTTCTAGAATTTATTTCTTCATAGTTACATGAAAAATACCTTTTTTATTCTGTTATTGAATATATGTATAACTTGCCATTTTTTTCCCATGAGGACTTGAGGTATTTTTCTATAAAGACTATATGCCCTAAGAATAATAAGTAGAATAGAAATGGAAGATCATTAGTTTAGGGAATAAGAGGAGTATCCAAGTATTCTATTTACAAAAACAAACATTGTTACCTTGATTGAGCATCCTGCAAACTGAAAAATGGAAACCGTAAATTATATCAGTTTCGTAATCAGAATGGAAGAAGCATGCTAGTTCCTCATAGAAGATACTGTGTGTCCAGGTAGAGGGACTTCTTGCAGAGCATCTCCTGTCGTAGAAATGGATTTGGGAAACAGGTTAACCACTGATAGGATTGATGTCGGATTCTGAAATTTAGAAAGCCAATTCTCAGATAAGCAGAGATTGTTACTTAAGAAGCAATGTCATATTGACATATGAATGGGTGTTTGATAAAGACCATAAAATTCTGTATCATATAATCTTCATCTTTAGCATGTAGGATCAATTTGGTGATTGAAATTGGTGGGTATCGGTAGGAATCCTTGTTTGTGTGGTTCTGTGTTAATCTCCTCAAGCTTGGATTTTTCTCATGTAAAACTAATAATTAACAATAACCTACCTTGTAAAATTATTGTCAGTGTTAAGTCATTTGAAAGTTCCTAGGATCATTAAGCACATAAGACATAAATGTTTTTGTTAGGATTAAGTATGGCAAACCACATGAACGTCCTAGGATGATACCTGACGTGTACTGCTAGGTCTTTAATGCACACAAATAGCCCTTCCTTTCTCTTCCCCTTCTTAATGATCATGTCTTCTCCACTCCAGGGAAAGCACAAATTGCATGTAGACACTGGGATGGAAGGTGTTTGGTGTGGCCTTATTCCCGTCGGACAGCCTTGCAATCGGGTCACGACAACAGGCCTGAAGTGGAACCTCAGTAAGTAAAACCCTTCCATAGAGGGAGGTTTTCTTTTTTTCTTTTTGCTCTGTTCATTTTTTAAAAAAATTTTTTAAGTGTCTCTTTGGTATATATCTAGAAGTGGAATTGGCTGGGTCATTTGGTAACTCTATGTATAACCTATCAGGAAACTGCCAGACATTTTCCAAGAGCCTGTACCATTTTACATTCCCATCAGCAATGTAGGAATATTCCAGTTTCCCCCTTTTCTCTACATTCTCACCAATGCTTGTTGTTATCTAGGTTTTTTGTTTGTTTGTTTGTTTCTTTGTTTTGCTTATAGCCAGCCTAGAGGCTATAAAGGTGGTATTTCATTATGTTTTGATTTGCATTTTCCTGATGACTGATGATGTCAAGCATCTTTTCTTGTGTTTAAGGAACATTTATATATCTTCCTTGGAAAAAAATGTCTATCTAGATCTTTTGCCCATATTTTAATTGGGTTATCCTCTTTTTATGTTCAGTTGTAAGTGTCCTTCATATATTGTAGATACAAGTCTTTTATCATCTATGTGACTTGCAAATATTTTCTTTCTTATGGTTTCATTTTCTGAAATTTAATCAACTAAATTAATTAATTTAGATGAAGCACATTTTTTTTCTTTTATGGATTGTGCTCCTGGTGTCCTATCTAAGAATTCTTTGCCCCACCTTCTTTATGATTTTGTATACTTGAAAAACCTACTTTACTTTTCTAGAGAAGTAGCAATTCTAAGTAGCAAGTTCTTTTCATAGCCAAGTCTCTGAGATATCATAAGATTGGCTGCTCCTAATAACTTTTAGAATGTCTTCCAGTACTTGTGAACTGTATTAGTAACACTAAAGCTGTCTGATTTGAAAAGAAAGAAAAGCAAGGGGTTCTGTCCATGAAATAAATGCTGACTCCAAAAGAAACCAGCAGGCATCGTGAAAGTGAATCAACTCTGACATTTCTAAGAATAGCAATAATTTAATCAAAGAGCTCTGATTGACTGTCAAAGGGATCATCCCCTGATTGACCAATACCTCTAAGGTTGTACAAGTAAAATATGGAACCATGTCATGTTTTCTAACATGTAAAAAACTCTTAGGTTCCCACGTGGAAATAAATATTTTTCCAAGAAATGAATATTTTTAAATGAAAAGATTTTTAAAAGGCTTTCTCTGAAGTCTTTCCTAATTGCAGAAACAATTAGGAAAAACTAGAGATATTTTGCAACAAATGTCTAGAGAGCTCATCAGAATTTGAAAGGGTTGGTGAGAACAGATCTCCTCGAGTGCACAGGAATATGTGACAGGCTTTGAAGCTGTTTAGCTGAAACTGACATGAGTTCCCTTTAGAAGCTTTTTTGAAAATGTTGCAGCCCAAAACAACTGTTTACTTTTTTTAGAGTTCTCATTATTTCCAAGGACCCAATCTAGACAGTGGTGAACTTCTCCTAGATTTAGTAATGACCACAGTTTTTAGGGCTGGCACTGAGCAAAATAAAGTGGAGGGTTGGCAGTATGGGCAGTCGCCCCGGCTTCCTTTACCTTATAGTAATGGGAAGGGGTCATAAGATCAGACGTGATTCTTCTGGGCTCTTTAGAATGTCCTTTGATCCCCTATTTCCCACAGTAATACTCACATCCTAGTTCTGCATGAAAGGTTTTCTCCGGGCAGGAGGCCTTTGGCACGATAAGGGCAGAGCTCTTTAACCTTCCTACCTGTGATGACTTTTTGATCCCGCCCAAATGCCAAATGCTGTTACTTATTTATAGATGCAGATTTATAGATACAGATTGCTTTGACCTTTGAAATAATTATTCTTTTCTCTATAACTCTATCAAAATAAATAAAGAGCTGCTTCATGGAATACAGAAAGCAAAGGAGTGTCGTGTGTGGTAAAGGTACTAATGCATGCGTCTCCTAGCTGATGGGCAATGTGGTTTCATTAAACAGTAATAAAGATAACCATGAATGATACCATGTTCACTTGAGGAAAAGTGAGGAGATTTCATTCACAGAGAGGATCCTTGCTGTATTCAGTGCTACTGTTCTCAGAAGCAGAGCCCTGAGGTCGGTGATATTTTGTCAGCCGTGACCACGGGTCTCAGGACAAAGCTAGCCTTGGAGAAGGAGGAAGGATATGCAGCAGCTTAGTCAGTAGCTACTCACTTCTTGGGTCAATGAGAGTAAGCAAGTCCCTGTGAGGAAACATGTCAAAGCCCCCCTCAGTCCCTCCTGCCTCGATTCACAATCTACACCCACTCTAAGATGTGATGCCACAAGTTCCAAAAGCAATCTGGTGTATCCGTTACCAATTTGCAATATCTCACATCACATTCTGACTTTAAAAAAATAAAATATGAATGATACCCCTGTACCCGCCACCCAGAAGTGAAACTTTTCAAATATTATTGAAGCTACCTTCATTTATTTACTGCGTTTTATCTCAAAGTAATATGCTGAGAACATTCTTTGACTTGTGTCTTGTGTAAGAGTTGCTGACATACACACTTGGGAGTAAAATAGCTGTGTCATAGATAATTGCATCTTCCCTTTACAAGATATGCCAGATCGCTCTGCACAGTGGTTACACCAGTGTGCACTCAGCCCAGAAATGCCCCAGGTCCTCCCCAATCTTCAGCATTGTCACACTTAATCATTTTTGCCCAATGAGTGTAAATGATATTTCTTTGTGGTCTCTGCTGGTGAGGGTAGAGCATCTTTATGTAGTTATTAGCCATGCTAGTTTCTTCTTCTGTGGACTGCTGCTTTCTTTTGCTCATTTTTCCACTAGGCCATTAATTCTTAGAAGTTCTTCAGACTCTTTTTTCCTGGCTATACTTTGCCTTTTCAGTGTGTTTATGATATTTTTATATGAACAGGTTACTGAGTTAAATGTAGTCAAAATTTATCACATTTGTAATTTTTGTGTCTTAAATCATCTTTCCATCGCCTATGGTCATAAAAATATTTCTCATTTCAGTTTTAAATTTCATTTTTAGGTCTTTCCTTTCACCTGAAATTGATTTTTGTATATGATATGAGATAGGGATCCATTGTTTTTTTTGGTTTTGTTTTGTTTTTTGATAACCAGTTGCCCTAGCGTCATTTATTATCCTTTCCTCAGTGATTTGCAGTGTGCCACAGGTTTTCATGTGCATGTGTATGTTTCTTGGATCTCCGTTCCGTTCCCTTGGCTTACATACTTTACCCTTCCTGAAGCCATACTTCTTTAATTACCTTAGCTTTATATTATATGAATTGTGGCAAGTTGAGTCCTCCAAAATTGTTCTTCAAAATTGTCATGGCTGTTCCTGGCTTTTTGTTCTTCATAAACTTTGGAAGTAACTCTACAAATGGCTCACTCATAATTCCATCATAATTTTTATCGGAATTACATTTAATTTGTAGATTAATTTGGAGAGAATAGAACAATTGGGGAAGAAAATGTCTACGTGAAATTAAGTCTTCCCATCCATAAATTTAGTTTATCTCTGTATTTACTTAGAACTTTTTAATTTCTTTCAATAATTTTAAAATTTTCTCCATAAACATCCTATGCATCTTTTATAAGATTTATTTCTAGAAACCCTACATTTTATGTTCTTTGTATAAGTTATACCTTTTTTAAAATTACATTTTCTGAGTTCATTGATGTTATATAGACATGCAATTGAATTTAGCAATTATATTAATATATTGCTGAATACTTTTATTATTTCTAAAAATGTGACTGTGGAGTTATTTGGTATTCATATTTCTGTTAGTAATCAAATTTTCTTTCTGTTTCTGTCTAAAACAAATAGAATTATTTTCAGTTATGACTGAAACAGTAGCTTTAGAAAGCCTGTTTTGTTTGTTTCCTCCTGTGACAAAGTGTACAGGTAAGCAATTATAGGACAAGGTTTCTATAATTTCTTCAGCCTTTGCCTCCAAGGCGTAGAAAGTGTATTAATCAAATCAGGGTAACTGGGGTTTTCATCACCTTAAGCATCTGTCATTTCTTTGTTTAAGGAACATTTCAGTTCCATTCTTTTAGTTATTTAATGTACACAATACCTTATTATTGACTCTTGTCACCCTATTATGCTCTATCAAATAATAGAACTTACTCATTCTATCTTACCGTATTTTTGTGCCAATTAACCATTCCCACTTTATTCCCCCCATCCCCGGTACCCTTCCCAGGCCCTAGTAACCATCATTCTACTCTCCATCTCCATGTTATCAATTTTGTTTTTTTTAATTTTTAGCTCCCAGTATGAGTGAGAACATACAAAATTTGTGTTTCTGTGCTTGGCTTATTTCACTTAACATCATGTTCTCCAGTTCCATCCATGTTGTTGCAAATGGCAAGATTTCATTCTTTGTTATGGGGGAATAATATTCCATTGTGTATATGGACCACATTTGCTTTATCCATTCATCTGTTGGCGACACTTAGGGTGATTCCAAATCTTAGCTATTGTGAATAGTGTTTTAATAAGCATACAAGTGCACATATCTTTTCAATATGCTGATTTCCTTTCTTTTGGATATATACCTAGCAGTGTGATTGTTGGGTCATATGGTAGTTCTCTTTTTCGTTTTTTAGGAACTTCTGTACTGCTTACCATTCTCCATGTTGGTTGCACGAAATTCCCACCAACAGTGTACAAGGGTTCCCCTTTCTCCACATCCTTGCCAGGATTCAATATTATCTGTCTTTGAATAAAATCCATTTTAACTGGGATGAGATAATAGCTCATTGTAGTTTTGATTTGCATTTTCTCTGATGGCCAATAATGTTGAGCATTTTTTCATAAACCTGTTGGCCGTTTGTATGTCTTTGAGAAATGTCTGTTCAGATCTTTTGCCCATTTTCCAAAATCACATTATTCGATTTTTTTCCTATTGTTTGAGCTCCTTATATATTCTAGTTATTAAATCCTTTGTCATATGAGTAGTTTGCAAATATTTTCTCCTGTTCTTTGAGTTCTCTTCACTTTGCTGATTGTTTCCTTTGCTGTAC